TACATCAATCCTGAGCCGTACATATTGTAACCTCTATAGCAGTGTTTCTCAGTCTCAGCAGCTTTAAACCATGTGGACTTCAGCTCCCAGAATTCTCCAGCCAGCATGCTGGCTGGGGAATTCTGGGAATTGAAGTCCACACAGCTTAAAGCTGCTGAGACTGAGAAACACTGCTCTATAGGGTGATTCTTTCATGTACCAATTTCATTTTTATTCTTTTTCTCTAGGAAGCTCACATCACGGCTCCATTTTATCCTCATAACGATCCTGTAAGATAAGATAGAGACTTGGACCAAGGCTTCATAGTTGAATGGTGATTTGAAACTAGCTCTCCACAGTCCTAGCCTACCTCTAAATCTGCTCCCCTCTAAAATATACTGAGGATACAAGTCTACCAAGCTGGCAGGAACTTCTGAGAATTGTTGCCCCAACACATCTTGAGGACATCAGTTTCAGGAAGGCTGGCCTAATAATTACAGTGTGTGCTGTAAATATTTAACAGCATATGCAACACATGTATTGCTCTTTGCTCGATGCTTTCTGAGAAAGCTATAAACCTTAATAAATTATTACAGCCCAGTTGCCAATGCCATCATGCTAGCAGTCCAATCAGAACATATTGCTGTAGATTTACTCTTCACTGACTCTGCAACTGGACATGCTCCAAAAGTGTTAATTATACTTGCACTCCTAGGGTTCCTTGGCTCATCAGCATCCTTTAGTGTGCATCGATCACTTACACACATTTCGCCAACTGAAGCGCCAGCTGCAGGGCGTGACTGCAGCCTAGCTCCAAAATGGGGAAATTAGACAGTGGCAGCTGTCCTAAAAATAGATTTATGATGATGCATTCTTCCCATCGAGATTCTTAAAATCAGGAGCAGGAAGAGGAAGCAAGAAGTTTCACTTCCAGCCCAAGACTGAGTTGTTCCAAAATGCACATACATATTCATCATGCTATCCCTTTCCTCAGTAAGCAACGTTATGCAAAGTGCAGAAAAGGAGTAAGAGATAGTAATAGAAAACACAGTTAAATCTAATTTATACCAAGCCTCCCTATACCTTTCTATCCTTGCTTTAACTACCTCCACACCCTGCTTCATATACTGTCATTTATTGATTAAACTTCTCACCTCTCACTTCACCTCACCTCTGTCCAGCCGTGACTTTCTCCATTTTCCCCTTCCTGTCACTTCCTGGCTATGTATTCATCAACTCTACCTGTGAGATCAGGGCATCATTTAAATCAATTACATTCTTCCCCTTTTTTTTAATTTCACAGACACTCATTGTACCTACTTTTATTTCTTTTATCTTATTCATTAATTTATGTTCTTCATCATTCATCTACTCTTATATTCCAGTGAAGATTTTCCACTGTCACCACCAGATCATCCACGGATATGGAAAATACACATAAGCTTGCCTAGACTTTCAGGTTAGAGACAAGTTAGAAACCTAGGCACAAAAATACGTGTTATCACTGCAAGCTGTGTTTCCCGCATGCTGCTGCTTCTCGCAAATGAAGTATAGTTCTCGGCTAACCTTCCCAATTATTTTGTTGTTGGTGAATATTAAAACATATTAAGATACCCGCAGGCTGAAGAGCACGTTCCAAGTCCAGACTTCATGAAAATGAAATGAATTGAGATTAATGTGGATCAGTCAACATGAGTTGTGAGCAGCATGTCAACACTGCAAGATCGTGCACAAATGTTATTCAGACAATTAGCATGGCATGTATTCAGATCAAGACCTTGGGATGGGGAGTGTAGCATAAGGCAATTTATCTCCCATTGTAGATACAGTTACTCCTGCTGTGGTCCTCATTCAATTTCCTTCCCTTCCAAGAGCTGCTGTTTGCATGGGATGGGTGGGGGGAGAGCAATGGGGGGGAGAGCAATGAGCATGAATATTATAGACTGTTTCTGATATCATACTAATTAATACATTTGGGATGTATGGGTTAAAATTTACAGGCCCACTGAAATCAGCAAGCCTTAAGAGGGTCATGACCGACTTGTCTTCCTGATTTTATTATGTCTAAGCATGATTAAGTCTGGATCCAACCTAGTAAGTTTTATTCATTCTAATTGTTTATGCTTATGCTTTCTTAATATTGTATTTCCAAATCCACAGGAAAATCCAAAGGCCTGAAAGGAGCATTGCAGTAATGATCAAATATATGAGTTCTAGGAGCTACCAGAGCTGAGCTGCAAGATTCTAACTCTGGATTTCTGCAGCATAGATATCATGGAACGTAAGGGCTGGGAAGGGACTTCAGAGATTATCTATTCCAACCCTCTGCTCAATGCAGGATCCACTAGTACAGGATCTCTGATAGATGATAGTCCACCACCTGCAGTCTGATTCACCACTGAAGAGCTCTTACCATTAGGAATTTTTCCTGATGTTCAACCAAAATTTACTTCCTTGTAATTTCTTGTCCTGTCCTATGGAACAATTCTGCCCTGTTTTTACATAACAGCCATTCAGATACTTGTAGACAGTTATCATATTTCACTTTAGTCTTCTTGTCTCTAGGCAAAAGATACCCAATGCCTCCAACCGTTCCTTTTAAATTCTTCCTTCCGGATTCTTTACTGTCTTGCTGTCCTTTGGACATGCTTTAGTTAGTCAATCTCCTTCCTAAAATGCAGTGCCCAGAGCTGGGTAGAATATTTCAAGTTTGGTCTGACCGATCCAGAATAGAGAGGACAATGGCTTCTCTTGATACTATACTCATGTTAATGCAGGCTAGGATTCTATTTGCCCTTTTTTTTTTTTTGCATCTGCCTTCCACTGTTGACTCATGTGCATCATGTGATCTACCAAGACACTCAGATCCTTTTTCCATATCCTGCCACCCAACATGGGCTCCCCACCATCTGACTTTGTTTTGTGCAAACACAGCCTATAAATCATTCTGTTTTTAGCTTTTAATATAACAGTTTTAAGCAACACACCATTCAAATCTTAAAGCTACTTCCACAAGAGGACCTGGTGGTGGTTTGAAAAGAGGCTTGGAGAAACCAACAGCAGCTATCTACAATTTCCAGCATGGAAAGCAAGTCATTGAATGGGAGGGCTGTGAAATGCTTTCTATTCCAATGCCACATGATCCTGGGGTGCTAAATTCATGTGCTCCAAAGCAATTAAATAGTTCCTAGAAAAGAGTGCTAGGGTACTCTGTGCCCTATCTGTGTTTCTAGCACCTAGTTGTACAAGCATCTGCAGTACATCAAGCTGGCATCAAAATGGTGATATGCACTGGCTTCCTGATCTCCAGGAATCATTTAAATCAGATTTAAATCATGGATTTTGTGTAATGATGGGACGCCTCATGATTCTTCACTTATCCCTCTTTGCAGATGCCTACAAAAACTGACCCCTGCAGGTATAAAATGCTGGACTAAATTTAGACTATCAGATCTGGGCTTCCAACATCCGAATGGCAGCAAAGAGGTACAGAAACATTAACTCTCTGCTTTCACCTAGTGGCCATCTGGATTTTTACAGCCCAGATCTTCTAGCCCTAATTGTCTTTTCATCAGATCCTACAAGCTGTTCTTACATTGTGTTTACAAGAGAAGGTATTTACAATTGAAGCCATACACATTTATTATGGCAGAAGCTTTCCTGAATACCCCCTGCTTCCTCAGATGTAAGAAGTGTTATTTAAGGCACAGATATTCATAAATTGGGTTGGCACAGCATGCTAACTTTAGAATCCTCATCCAGATTTTTGCAGCCAAACACAATATGGTATCCCATAAGGCATCAGACTAGAAACCAGGAGACTGAGAGTTTTAGACCTTAGGCACAAAGCCACTTCTGAAAAACTTGCCAAGAAAAATGCAAGGACTAGTCCAGGCAGTTGCCATGAGTCAAAACTCACTCAAAGGCGCGCACACACACACAATATGCAAAACCAAAATATACTCCATCGGGACTTAATATGTTGGCTTTGACCACACAACACAGTAAGATATAATGCAGTTTGCTTGATTTGGACTTAGGCACTGAGCTTTCTAAGTCATTCATTATGGTTTTGCAAATAGTTATTATCAGATAATATTCAAAGAGCAAGTTTTATTTTTTAGGTCATTCCTGCTGATTTTGCAGATGCGCCCATGTAACAGTGCAGAAAACTGTACCAAACAGCAAAGAAAATAGTCAGCCTTTCCATCAAAACACTTGCTCTCTGTGTAACCGTTGGGTCTGCTGCTTTTATGATTGCTTGCACTTTAATTGGCTTTTCAAAAAAATATTCTTTTACGGAATCATGTTTTTTAAACTATTGGCACAGAAACACAGTAAGTCAATAGAGCAATAGGCCTCCTGTCGGTCTTCAACGGCCTGACGGGCCACATCACTCTCAGCCTAGGCACAATGGGACTTGTAATCCAACACCGCTACGGAACACGGGTGAAAGAAGGCTATTCAGGTTAATATTTGGCCCCCTCTTCCTCCCATTTTGTACGTCACGAATAAAACGGAGGGGCATGCACGGGACATCACGGGAATCGTAGTTTCACAGGTACGATGACGTAAGACGACGTACCAACGGTCCCCTTTCTCGGGTTGCCAACGATTCTTTCTCATAAGGCAAAGGGGTGGGCCTGTTTGTTTTTAATGCATGCAATAATTATTACAGCTGATCGAATTGCTCATTAGGGCTCCACGGATCTACCGCGCGCGCCTCTCCCCCACCCCGCGCGCTTTCCGTCTCGCCCAGCGCCGGAAGTGACGCCCAGTGGAGGG